TACAAAATATCTTCATGGAACATGATCTTTACTTAATATCCTAATGATTTTTGGCATAAAATAAAAATTTAAAATATTGACCCATACAATGTTTTTTTGTCTATTGCTACAAATATACCCCAGCGACTTAAGACTGCTTTTGTGCTCCAGGGTCACATATAGCTATAATTATGAAATAAAAAGTTGAAATTATGTTATAAAAAGTCAAAATTACGATATAACAATTATGACATAAAAATACAAAAGGAGGGAGGATATTTTGAAAGTCACTGGGGTCCAAACAACTTTGACATTTGGAACAGCATGAAGGTGAGTAAATGATGACCGAATGTTCATTTTTGGGTGAACTATCCCTTTAATGTGCAGCACAAACCACCTGTGTGAACTTCTCATTGGTCAACAGATGTCTGCATCACAACGCACAAGTTAAAACTCTCTCAGTTTCACAAACCCTCGCAGTTTCCTTCTACATCCTCGTGACACATCTTTCTTGTTGAAATCAATGGTGTGTGGAAGTACTAACCCTCAAGTTGACCCAAACCTGAATGATTATTTTGTTTGGAAACATTTTGAAGAAGCTGCATGCTTTATCACAAAAATCTTCTGAAAACATTTAATAGCATTGTATAAGGAACTGACTGAAAGTTAAATAATTAACGAGGTCATGGGTTCAATTCCCAGGGAATAATGCATGAACCAATAAATTTTTTTTACTTTGAATGCAATGCAAGTCGCTTTGGATAAAAGCATCTGCTAAATGCATAAATGTAATGTTTTTTTTTCTAATCACGCATTCAGTTGCATATTACAAAACATGAAAGTTTATTTTACATGGTGTAGTAAGCAACATATTTTCAATTCCAAACAGCCAAATTTGACAAAGTCGAGTAGTTTGCATCACTGTATATAACTGACGGGTGTTAAATATTGAAACATACATCTCATCTCGTACACTTCGACATCACGCTAGAAAACATGCTCGACTTCTGTGAACAGAAAAGCCCACCTTCTTTGATATGATTGACCGTCTCAGTCATTTTGACATTGATTAGTGCTGGTTTTCAACTTAACAACGTACAAATCAGTGCATAATGAAGTCCAAGAATATTGATAAATTGATATAAGGAATATCAAATGTTGCAGGACAGTGTATCCATATCTGATTATTGGAGGGTTCATGTTCTGTTAAATGTCTACATACCCACACTTCATTCAGTTCAGTCAGAGTTATGAGTGAGCAGTGTTATCACTGACATGTCACACAGTGCTATGGTCAGGGTCCAAATGCAAATACCTCCTGATATAGCAGCATTGCTGATTCCCTAAAATAAAGACTCCACCTCAACTTCCTCTTAAGCTGTCCGGCGTTCACGCACATCCTCTTAGACATGATGCACCGAGCACGCTCCACTCATGAGTTGGTGCTATGAGTATCCGTGTGTGGTGCAGACTAACCTCCTGCTCTACTATCAGTTCATTGCTCTTCCTCATGTTGTTGTGAACCAGTTTGTGTGCATCGCACAAGAGGACTACTGCCGCATCCTCAACCATGTGGAGAAGAACACGCACAAGGTGGAGGAGGAGGGCGAGATCGTCATGGTGAAGGAGCACCGAGAGCTGGACCGCAGCGGCACCAGGAAGGGCCACATCGTCATTAAGGTGAGGAAGAGTCACTGTAGTTTCTAGAATCGATCATTGCTTTGGGCTGCTGTTGTACGATTAGTCAACGGTCAGTTTAAAGCTGGTCAAAAGGATGTGGCAAAAGTAACAAATGACGATTGATTTGAAAAAGAAGCATCTCATTGAGACACTATCCCAAAGTAAAGCCTTGGTAAAGATCACTTCAGACCAAGGTTTAAAACCTGACTTAAGGCAAGACGCTACAGGGCAAAACCATTGTTTTTTTTCATGCGCTGGTCAATTTAGAGATTTTTTTTCAGACTAGTGCAAAGAAAACATCCAAAAGACACATTTTATGCTTTATCTATTTGCATTTGTTTCACTTTCAGTATGTATCTTTAAAGACCATGTGCTTTTTTTCTACTTCAGCAGCAATTACATACACCAAACTTCAGTTATATTCCTATCTCTATTATGAAGGTTTATATAGAGGGGTTTGTTCATATGTGACCCTGTACCACAAAACCAGTCATAAGGGTAAATTTTTCTAAATTGAGATTTATACATCATCTGAAAGCTGAATAAATAAACCTTTCATTGATGTATGGTTTGTTAGGATCGGACAATATTTGACCGAGATACAACTATTTGAAAATCTGGAATCTGAGGGTGCAAAAAAATCGAAATATTGAGAAAATCATCTTTAAAGTTGTGCAAATTAAGTTCTTAACAATGCATATTACTAATAAAAAATTATGTTTTAATATATTTATGGTAGGAAATTTACAAAATATCTTCATGGAACATGATCTTTGCTTAATGATTTTTGGCATAAAAGAAAAATCAATAATTTTGACCCATACAATGTATTTTTGGCTATTGCTACAAATATACCCCAGCGACTTAAGACTGGTTTTGTGGTCCAGGGTCACATATATCATTCACCTGATTTATATAACATTTTATTCATAAAAACATGGTGAGGATTTTTTTTTTATGTCTGTTGACAGTATTTTCTGATTTATGCAGTGATAAATAGATACATCCAAAATCCCCTCTGTAAAAACCTTTAATATGACAACAAAATCAAACAAGAACTTTGAACCTGGCTTTTTATAAATGTATACAAATGAGTGCATATTTAATTAGATAAAGTCTCATTTACATGTTTAAACATGACATTTCTGAAAACTTGCAATGCCTTAATCTGCTGTGATTAATCAGCTGGGGAAGTATGGTGAAATCTGTTCATTTTTTAAATGTTACCCTCTTGACCTGTGGTGGCTTGGTGGTTTCTGTGTGAGTTTAACTAGACTGGACTTGGCAGCCTGAGCATTTCCGGTTTGTCTCCTACCACGAGTGTTGAAGCAGTGCTTCCCGTCATCTGTCGGATCTGTGGTGGCAGAGCTCTCAGAGCAGAGGTTCAGTTTCAGGCCGGCTGCTGTCAGTTTCTGATCCTCTGGGGAACGGCTGCTCTTCGTGATGTCTGCATCAGTCACGAGCAGTGCTGGGTAGTGACTGATAACATGTAATCTGGATTACGTAATCAGATTCCAAAAATTAAGTACTTGTAATTAGAGTATCTTTTCACTCACGCCAGCAACAGACCCTAGCAACCACATAGAAACCACCCTGTCTGCAGTTTCCTATCTGCATGCATGCATGCACTGTATCAGGTGCTCTTGTGTTGTTTGCATCAGGGCACTCCAGAGCGTCTGATCATGCACCTGGTGGAGGAGCCGTCAGTGGTGGACCCCACATACATTGAGGACTTCCTCCTGACGTACCGCACCTTCCTGTCCAGCCCCATGCAAGTGGGCAAGAAACTCCTGGAATGGTTCAAAGTGGACAGTCTCAGAGACACGGTCAGTATGTGTGTGTGCATCAGTCTTTCTGTTTCTTACAGTGTTGTTTTTGTGGTAAATAATGGATTGCACGTGTTGACATATTTTGGGATCTCGCAGGTGACGAGAATCGTGTTGTTGTGGGTAAACAATCATTTTAACGACTTTGAAGGCGATCCGGTAATGACTCAGTTCCTGGAGGACTTCGAAAAGTTACTGGACTCCTCGGTGAGTGTCGATATCAGACTGATTCAATAAAACAGGTTTCCTATGCAAATGATTTGACTGATTGAAATAACATTTATAATATATGTTAATGTAATATAATATAATAACCACTGCATCTGTCTGAAAATAAATATAAATAAATAAAACGAAGTGATTGATTTTAATTTTCAAAGCCAATGTTCAATGTGCTCTCATTATAAAAAGAACTTTGTTATTGTTTATTTAGCTCTAACAAGTAAGTTTTTGCTCAAAACTAACCAAAATGAAAAATAAATTGGTGTTTCCAAACGAAAGGAAATATATCAGTATCGGCATCGGCTATCGGCCAAAATGAGTTGAAAAATATTGGATATCGGCAAAATTTCAATATTGTGCATCCCTACTGGGAATGAATAAAATCTTGAAACGTCATGGAAATTAAATGTAAAACAATAAAAATGAGAGTGCGTATGTAACGGCAGAGCAGAACAGCTAAAGCAGCAGCACTGACAGAGCAGTTATAGTTATAGTTATAGTTATATTCATTCACAGAATCAAACACATCGTACTGACCCCAGTTCGTCTGAAAGAGCTTTATTGCCAAGGAATTTTTCTTGGTAATGAAGCTTGCAGTGCACGCATATGAGCACAACAACAAGACACATAATAATAAAATTAAAGACTAAAAATATGAGAATATTTTCAAATTATGAACATATTTACAGTATCATGAATTATATGAATAAATACAAGGGAATAATTTTCTTAAATATGTGTTTCATTGAATTGTGTCTCAGAAAATGAAGGGCCATCTGCGTCTGCTGAACATTGCGTGTGCTGCTAAAGCCAAGTGTCGTCAGATCATGCTGCAGAAGCCGCCCAGAGAGTCTCCGCTGTTCTTCACGGTTCAGGGCGGCAGTGAGCGGGGCTTCGGCATCTTCGTGGAGACTGTGGAGGAGGCCAGTAAAGCGGCAGAAGCAGGGCTCAAGCGTGGAGATCAGGTACAGATTACAGGAACGTGCTCTGCACCGAGCAACACTTACCAAATAAGTATTTCAGCATGAACACATTGCGCCTCATCTGTCCTCAGATCATGGAGATCAATGGGCAGAACTTTGAGAACATCTCGTACTCCAAAGCCATGGATATCCTGAAGAACAACACGCACCTCTCTCTTACTGTGAAGACCAACATCTTCGGTATGTCACAGAACATACAGATCGTTCTTATAGCACAGTACTGTGGAATGCTTCATTCTGATTGGCTAACGGGTGTTGAAGTAGTTTCCTCAGCTGTGACGCAGCTTCTTGAATTTGAGAAAATGACTCAAATTTGAGTTTCCATCCGATCTGCTAATTTAATTTAATGCAAAAAAAAAAAAACTGGAGCACCACAAAAGTTCAGAAAAACATTTAGCAAATAAAGCAGCGTTTCCACCACATGTGTCCAAAAGATCAAACTCGTCACATATGACAATGAAAGTTGTAAATGCTGTTGTATAAAATGTAATAAATGAGCGTTTTAATGACAGGCTTTGGCTCTGACTTTTCTCTACAGCATCGTTTGATGCGCCCTCTCAGCCGGGTATTCAGTCACATGAATTTTGTTGTTGTACATCTTGTGATTTATTCAGTAAATGTTGATTCCATTGTAGTTTAAGAGTATGTTTTCTTCATTTCTTCAAAATCATTTATCAGCCTCTAGCGAGCACATACATGCCCATGCACATTTTAGAAAATGTATCTCCATTCAGCATTTTATGTGTTATTTCAAAATTCTAATAAAATCTGTAGATGGAAACAACAGCTGTTAGCATGCATATGCATGGAGACAGCCCTGACTGTAACATTTGCTTTTTTAAAACTCATATTTTCATCAATACTTTTATTAATCACTTACTCTAGCTTACACAAAACCGACATTTAAATCAATTAAAGTACCCCATTATGCTATTTTAATGGTTCCAAATTTTGTTTTTGAGGTCTCCTACAATAGGCTTACATGCATCCAAGGTCAAAAAAACACTTTACTTTTTAATATTTTCTCATAATATACATTGCCGCATCACTTCTGTTCTCACACTTTCTGTAAAAATGAATTTTAACCACTGACTCTTCACATCCTCATCCTTCATCCTGCAGAGTGTTTTTGCTTTCGCAGCACAGAAAACAGCGTCTTCTAGACATTCAGGCAGTTCTGAATTCAGAATTTATTTATTTTGAGAGACAATAACTCCATTTGTTGTGCACTTTGATCTTTGAAACTATGCAGAACTTTTACATTCACAGACAGAAAGGTAAATATCCGAAAAAGTATAATAGGGGTGCTTTAATAGAACAAAACCAACCGACATTTAAATCTCGTGATTGTCTTTGAACATTCAAACGTGTCCGAATCACTGCAGCACTAGACAATATTATAAATACAGTACAGCTAGATAAACCTGGCAGATCACTCGTATCATATTGTAAAGCACTAAGCCATCATAGACATAACAGTGCAACTTTCTGTAAAGCTGCTATGAAACCATGTGTATTGTGAAAAGCAGATCCATTTGACTTGATTTTGACTTTGTCGCAGTTTTCAAAGAGCTTCAGAGCCGCGTGAGGAATGAGAAGAAGAACGGCGGTCCTCACATCCCTAAGATTCAGGAGAGGAAGAGCAACCGCTTCTCCATCCCGGATCTCCCAGGTGACTTGGAGTTTCCCTCGGACAGCAAGAGCCGCAAGAAGATGAAGGCCAACACGGTGTCTGGAGGACGCAACAAGATCCGTAAGATGTTGGAGAAGACCAGATTCAGCATCCTGCCCCCGAAACCCTTCAGGTAAAGACATGTTCTTGTGTGGGTGATGGTTGAGAGTCTAGTTGAGTTCACGAGTCTCCTTTCACTGCTTATCTACACGTTCCTCCATCAGCATCACGACTGGCGTCTGTCGGCCGCCACACAGAGAACATGAGCTACTGCTCTTAGTGTCTCTAGAGGCGTTTCACTGCATGACATTCTCACGCTCTCACAGGGTTTAAACAGACCTCCATCTATCCATCCATCAGTTTGATTTCTCCATGATTGAACAGAGGATGGAGGATGCAGATGCACTGGTCACCACAGGAGCTCATGTTTTACTCATATTTTATCCCACAATCATTCTGCATAAAGTAAATCAATGTTTTAGGACTATCAAGAGTTGTGCCGTTATTTTCATGACAGTTAAGCACATTCTTCACTGCTGTAAAGATGTTGTACTTTATTTAGAAACCTTCAGGCAGGTGTGTTTGAGCTGAACTCTTCAGGAGCAGGATTGGACACCCTTGTATGATTTCGTTGTTTTCTCATTGCAGGGACTGCAAATGTCATGAAATAATCAAATCAAACTATCTAACATCAAAATATATGCTATCTCAAAATACATACAATCATAGTCATGAAGTACACGTTTGTTCACAGTTTGAAGGTTCATGTTTCCTTTCATTTTCAGGATCTGGGGTAAATCCACGGTCATTTTCAGTATGCATTTAAAGCAATGCAAATAATAATAACTAAAACTTTTTAACAATACACATTTACATTACATTAACTTTTAATCTTTTAGCAGATGCTTTTATCCAAAGCGAATTACAAATAAGAAAACAATAGAAGCGATCAAAACAGCAAAAGAGCAACAATATGTAAGTGCTGTGACAAGTCCTGGTTAATCTAACTCAGTACATGTAGCAAGTGTACAATTTAAAAAAAATAAATAAATAAAAAGAATGAAAAGAGATAGAATAGAGAGAGCTACTGTTAGAGGGTGAAGTTATTATTTTTTTTATAAATAAAAAGAAAACAAGTAGATAGAATAGACTAAAAAGAGAACACTAGTGTTAGAGGGTGAAACACTCCAAAGAGAAAGGAAAACTTGAAATCGCATCATATGACCCCTTTAAGAAAAGTACAGAAAATAGAAATAGAATAGAGGGTGCAAGTGTTAGATGGTCACGTTTTTTAATAAATAAAAAGAAAGCAAGTAGATAGAATAAAAATAGAATAGAATTACACAAAGCACATAATCAGTGGCTGAGATCATCACATGTATGTTTGTATGTTCTCGTTCCAGCCGCAATATCTTAGAAATAGAAACTGTTCCCAAGTAGATTCCCATGTTGTTCGTGTATCACCATCAAGGCTGGTTAGGACAAAAACTCTGATTAACATGTAAAAACATGGTCTAAAAAAAGGCCCCTTAAAAGGTCTAAAAAAAGTCTTACTTCGCCCTTCCACAAATTAAGGCCTCAAATAGCTGCACAAAGTCTCAAAAAGTCACAGCATTAAATGTTGCATGCACTGTAAAAATGAATATCATGTATTTTTGTCTTGTTTTCCCATTCAAATATCTAAAATATCATCCTTAAATCAAGATACTTTTACTGAAAAATGAAGATATGAGGTCTGAAACTGAATGTCTATCAATGGGGTATGAACGCTTGTTTTCCCTTTCAATTAATTGGTTTATTGGCAGAGATTTGTTCTTTTTTTAAATCATAAATTCACTTCATTTTGATAAATTTCTCAGGAAACAAGATTTTATTTCCCTTCATGTCATTTTGCTTCTCAATAAAATTGATCTTGATTTAAGAATCTTTAGACATTTGCACTGAAAACAAGACAAAAATACTGATGAATAACATCACTTAGTTGTTTTGCAGTGTGATCAGAAGGTAGAGTAAAAGTTATTTCTGTATTCTGGTGGATGGGATCAGAGCTATTCAAGCCTTAAGCTATTTCTTTTAGTAAGATGTATAAGAAAGTAGTGGAGATCTGTTGGAAGTTGTATATCAAACTTTGAAGTGTTACTAATACAAGTGTGACATATACATTTGGAGAGCATAATAATGTATTGTGTTCCCTTTCATTTATTCCTTAAATTTTCTTTACTTGGTGTTAAAAAACGTTTTCTTAAATTTACCTTTATAAAACCTGCGAAAATACCTTTTATCGCATGTCGTGTCTAGTTAGGACATGGTACAGTGTCACAATGCAGACAATCTAAATGTCCTAAAACATGCTTCATGTCGTTTATGCACAGTGTATGCTTTATTTTTGGATGTTGGGGTAAAGGTGAGCCCGCTAGGTGTGTGACAGAGTGTGAGTGTGTGTTTGAACACTTCACAGGCTTGTGTTTGAGGTTCATTTAAGTGCTTGATGCTTGTACTGGTTAACATCACGTGTTTTCTGTTTTTATGGCTGCTTCACTGCACAGGGGACTGTTTGGGTAAGAGACACCTGCTTAACACACTCTCTCTCTCTTATGAAATAATCATAAAGTCATAATGTTGGGAGTAGTGCAGCACAACCTCAATCAGAAGAGATCGTTTGCGTGAACATTGTGTTTCATGTTGTTTCATCCTCATATCAAGCGTGTTATTGTGTTTGCAGTGGACTTAGCATCCTTGTGCATGTTCACAACACATTTCACTTTTCCTGTGTGTTCACTAAGAGTTGCGTCACATCCTAACCAGGCACAACATTTCCAACAGCCAATCACAGCATGACGTTTAATATACAGTTGGGATTACATACTACACACAGAATAATACTACGGTATTACACTAGTATGCACTGCCAGGTCCTGTGACAAACAGCGCTTGGGATTTCACAGAAACAGGAAGTGAAAAGAATGACTTCCACACAGGAACTGTGACACTGCACTGTTATTTACATATGGAAAAGATGTTGACCAATGAAAGACAACACCTAAGCAGGCAGGACATGATACAAGCGCTTTCTTCCTCATCAATCACAGCTTTTGTCAATATGTTGTTAGTTTGAGCGTGTGATGTCTGTTTTGCCGGGTGGCTCCACACACACTTTCTGTAGGTCCCATTCAGAGTCCGATAAATCTCCATCCGTGTGTGGGTGTAGGTGTGCTACGCATGTGTATAGAAGTCCATTTCTGCCAAAAAAAATTTTAAAAAATCCTAAAATGTTCAATCCCAAAATTTAAACAGGGTTTGTACAAGGTGCTGAAAGTGCTTGAAGAACTTGAATTTGACTTTGAATTTTACAAGAAAAGTTTAATTGTCTCATGTCATTATGACTTTTGTCTCATAATTATGACTTAGAATGACAAAATTTTGTCTTTTTATCTCAGAAATTTTACTTTATCTCATAATTACGACAATATCATACTTTTGACTTTTATCTCATTACTTTTTTTATCTCTTTTTATTTCAGACTTTATCTCATAATTATGACTTTGTGTAACAACTTGACTTTTTATCTCATAATTATGACTTAAAATGTCAAAAATTTTATTTTATCTCATAATTAAGGTATAGTATGTCAATTTCGACGTTTTCTTATAACTTTGACTTAGTATGTCAATTTATCTCATAATTATGCTTTTTATCTTATAATTATGACATTGTATGTCATAACCTGACTTCTCGTAATTATGACTTAAAATGACAAAATTTTGTTTTATCTCAAATTTTTTTACTTTTTATCTCATAATTAAGATATAGTATTTAAATTTAGACTTATCTTTTTACTTTTTATCTCATAATTTTGACTTAGTACGTCAGTTTGTCTCGTTTTTATCTTATAATTATGACATAGTATGTCATAACGACTTATCTCATAATTGACTTAAAATAAAACAAAATGGTTTTTATATCATATTTTTTTACTTTTTAATCTCATAATTTTGACTTAGTATGTCAATTTCTCTCATAATTATGCTTTATATCTTATAATTATGAGATAGTGTGTCATAATTAAAAATTGTATCTCATAATTCTGACTATTTATCTCATGATTGTGATTTACTAAAGCATTTTTGTTTCCTTGTGGTGGGAATGGGCTTGCATACATGTGTATCTGAAGTGATGCACTTTGTATCTACAGCGGTTTCGGGTGTTCTTTGTGCACTTGTATTGATGTTTCCTGCAGTATCAGATGTGTTGATGATGATGTCATGGAGTCGAGTGATGGATGTAGAGGCAGTGTTGTCCTCTCAGAGCAGATCGTCACGTCTGACTTTACTCTCTGCTCTGAGAGCAAGACAGCAGCATGTTAATTAGGCCGTCTGTGTAAAGGTCAGCATCTGATTGGCACAGAGTTTACACATGAGACAGCGCTGTTTCCTCTCGTCCGAGACGTCAAGTGTTCTCACCCCTCTTCTGCTGTGTTTGCTCATCTCAGTCTCGTGTCTCATTCATAGATTGTGTGTGTTCATTCTGTGTTTGTGTTCGTGTCTGTTTAGAGCGCTTTCACACTGAAGCTTCTGGCATCACAGTTCAGTTTGTTTAGACTTTGCAGCATTTCTCATTGCCGTCGGCGAGCAGCTCGCATTCTTCGCACCCATTATAATACGTCTGCAGCAGATGAATGTGTGTCAACAGCAAATCAGAACTACCTCTATTTCCTCTCTTAATTCATCAGTGATGCTTTCTCTAAAGCGTCTTTATTTTCCCTTTGATGTCACTTAAGGGTTACTGGATGATGTTAATCAGTTGCTGGATAGCTGTCTAGTTATTGTTTTAGCCAATCCACATTTGGTCTGGCTTCATCCCATTCAGTCAATCAAGTGTGAAAACGGCCTAAATGTCCATATGCAGGGTTTCTGCGGGTCTTAAAAAAAGTCTTAACAAGTCTCAATTCACCCTTCCACAAATTAAGGCCTAAAAAGGTCTTAAATCAGAGCAAAAAAGTCGTACATTCATAAAGTCACAAATACAACACAAATACAATCTTTTCACACAAATTTAACGCTGCAGCTAGTCTAATATAGAGCCATATGGCATGAAAAGTTTAACTGACTTATGTCATTTTGTCTTTTTATCTCAGAATTATGACAATATCATAATTTCGACTTATATCTCATGATTTTTTTTATATATTTCAGACTTTATCTCATTATGACTTAGTGTCATAACTTTACTTTTTATCTCATAATTATGACTTAATGTCAAAATTTTATTTTCTCATAATTTTTTACTTTTTATCTCATAATTAAGATCTTATCTTGTGACTTTTTATCTCAGAATTTTGACTTAGTATGTCAATTTATCTCATAATTATGCTTTTTAATTAAATGTTGCATGCACTGCTAAAAAATGCATATCTTCCTCAGTATTTTTGTCTTGTTTTCCAATACAAATATCTGAACTTTCTGAAATAGAGACATATTTACTTGAGCACTTTAACTGCTTCTATTCTTGAACACTTGATGATTATCTAATCAAAATAAAAGTTCAGCGCTGAGTCTAGGAGAACTCACCACTATCGGTGCCGATTAATCGGCAAAACCGATACATCGGTCGACCTCTACTTGAGATGCAATTTAAACGTATGTGTTAAGATTCGAAGAATACACTTGCATGCCCATTTAATAACAGGTACAAACACAGAAACAAGAACATACAAGATCCTCGAGCGAAACAAGAACTCACAAAACATGACTGAAACACAAGGGCTGAAACACACAGAGAACATGGGGATAATTAGTTACAGGTGTGACTAATCAGGGTAACCATAGGAACTAACAAGACAAGGAGAGACAGAAACCAAACACAGGAAGGAAGCATGAACCAAAGGAAACTAAGACTACATTTCAACATAAAAGTCCTTACAAAACACAAGACAGAACAGGATAGTATGAAGTCTTGTTTTCTAAAAAATTGAATAAAATTAAATGAGTTTATGCTTAAAACAAGAACAAATATCTGTCAGTGGGGTAAGAAAAATTTTCCCTTTGAATTAAGTTGATTTTGCTGGGCAGATATTTGTTCTTGTTTTAATCATCAACTCATTTCATTTTGGTCAGTTTCACAGGAAGCAAGACTTCTTATGTCATTTTGCGTCTCAAGTAAATGTATTTTAATTTAGTAATGTTTATATATTTGTGCTGGAAATCAAGACAAAAATACTGATGAAGAACATCAGGTTTTTTGCAGTGTGATCAGAAGTTTCAGTAAAAGTTCTTTTCCATATTCTAGTGGTTTGGAGCAGAGCTATTCAAGCCATACGTTTTATTTAGTCTATTTATTTAGTACAAGGAATTAAAAAGTAATGGAGATCTGTTGTTGCAAGTTGTATTTGCAAACTTTGACGTGTTGCTAATAAAAGACGTTGACATTTTTCGAGACTATATCGATGTATTGTGTTCCATTTCATTTATTCCTTAAATTTTCTTTACTTGGTCTTAAAAAGGTTTTGAAATCGCCTTCATAAAACCTGCAGAAACCCTAATGTGAAAATCTATGTGTGTGTGTGTGTGTGTGTCCATTGACATGCAGTGTTAATGTTTGTGCTGGATGAAATCCCTCTCTGTCTGTGTCTGCAGTGACGGTGGCATGTCTCAGTCTCAGGACGACAGTATCGTGGGCACTAAGCAGTGCCGGCACAGCGTGGCTATAATGCCCATCCCGGGCAGCCTGTCATCCAGCAGCCCTGACCTGCTGCATCCCGCCGCCAGCGCTCTGGACTTTACCAACCCTTCAGGTAAGACCTCACACCATCGGAGCACGAGTTCAGCCACCCACAGCTGATTCAATGACCATAGACATGCGTCATCATATAGTGCAGGTGCTGAAGTTAAACTAAGCTTGATTTAACACAATATGTGACCCTGGACCACAAAACCAGTCATGAGATTTATACATTATCTGAAAGCTGAATAAATAGGCTTTCCATTGATGTATGGTTTGTTAGGATAGGACAATATTTGGCCGAGATACAACTATTTGAATATCTGGAATCTGAGGGTGCAAAAAAAATCAAAATATTGAGGAAATCGCCTTTAAAATTGTCCAAATGAAGTTTTTAGCAATGCATATTACTAATCAAACATTAAGTTTTGATATATTTACGGTAGGAAATTTACACAATATCTTCATGGAACATGATCTTTACTTAATATCTTAATGATTTTTGGCATAAAAGAAAAATGGATAATTTTGACCCATACAATGTTTTTTTGGCTATTGCTACAAATATACCCCAGCGACTTAAGACTGCTTTTGTGCTTCAGGGTCACAAATGTGCTCAGAATTCACAGACTGTGTGTGTAATACAGTGTGAAATGAAACAAGGTGGCAGCAGAATGAAGGCAGACATCATGAGTGAAAGACATGTGCTTAATTGCATTGAATGGGCATTTGCAGTGTACTTCAAGTATTAAAAGTATATTTTTTAAAAACTGTACTTGCAGAAAATATAATATTAATAAAATAAAAGGCCTCTTAAGTGTACTTAAGAAACATAGTCATGAAAGTGTCTCTCTTTAAGACACTAAAGTACACTTTTAAAAACGTGTTGCACTGCAATAACGTCAAATTAAACGTATCACTTTAAAATTACATTTGAAATCATTACGTTTAATAATCCTTCCTGTTTTAGTGCACATATTTTGATATGCTGCCTAACATACTAAAGCACATGTAAAGTCCTTGATTATAATTTGAACTGTAGTGCCTTATTCGATATTACATGTAAAATTAATCTATTTTAACTGTACTAAATTGCAGCTTCATCATTACAAATGTGTAATTATGAATATATTTAAATGTTCGACTTTAGTTTATTATAAATTCTTGTCAATACATTCAGCAGTACACTAGCCATATTTCAAAGACAATAGAATTATTAAATTACTCGCTATTAACAAACCATTAACTACGACTTTTCCCTAAATAAACTCCTAATTTGCTGCTTATTAATAGTTAGTACGGTAGTTGTTAAGTTTAGTTATTGGGTCGGATTAGGGATGTAGAATATGGTCATGCAGAATATGTGATTAATAAGTACTAATAAACATCCAATATTTTAATAATATGCATGCTAATAAGCAACTAGTTAATAGTGAGAATTGGTCCCTATACTAAAGTGTTACCAAGATGTACTTTAGTACTCTTTAAGTTCATCTAATTGCATTTAATATAAAGTTATCATTTTATTGTAAATTACATGCAGTTAGTTGAATGAAATCATTACACTCAGTTTGCATTGAAGTATATTCTTCTAAAGTATTAATTCCATAATGAGTGCTTATTTTAGTTTGTTATGCCAAAGTGTGCTTCTTTCACAGTGGAGGGTTTCTTCTGTAGATTTGTGGACCTGATGTCGATGCTCCTTATTTCAAGCTCTGAAAACCTTCTACATTCAAATGGAGATATACGTAGTTAGAATATATGAGGATGTTGGAAGGATTCCTGTAAATATTCCCTTACTGTAACTTCAGCTCTGGGTTGTGTCAAATGAAAGCTTGCGGCCGGTTTCAGATCCTCTGCACAGGAATGTGGAAACCAGCTGAAGATAAAGGCATAGTTCACCCAAAAAAAGAAAATTAAGTCATCATTTACTCACCCTTGTGTTGTTCTAATGCCGTATGCCCTTCTTTCTTTTTTGTACCACAAAAGGAGATATTTTACAAATTGTCCTGCGCGTGCGTGTCTATATAATGGCAGTATATGGCGATCAACATCAGGCTTTTTAAAAAAGATGCAAAAGTATCAAAGAATGGTCTCATGCAACACGTGCTGAATATTCCAAGTGTTCTGCGGGTATACGATAGGGGTTGGTGAAAAACAAACCGAAATGTAACATATTATTTAGCAAATATCCTGACTTGGCCATTGGTGTCTGTGTACAACTGCGCCTGAGGGGTTGGCATCATATCTTCTCAGGTGTTCTGGATCCAGACTGAAGCTTGTGTAAATCCTAGTTACATCCTGTGGCAAAAAAACAGAGAAACAAATAGAGACATAATTGTTCATGAGACTCTATTAGCGCCGCAGTTCACTCCGACTCACCAAGGTAAAACACACAAATTGTGAAAAATCAAGTGCCAAATGGGACCATTCTGTGATACTTTTGCATCTTTTTTTAAAAAGCTTGAAGCTGATCGCCATATACTGCCATTATATAGACAAGCGTGTGTGCATTTCTTTTTGCATTTTTTATTTTTTTTCAAAAATCTCTTTTTGTGGTCTGAAAAAGACAGAAGGGCATATGACATTAGAACAACACCAGGGTGAGTAAATGATGACCTCATTTTCATTTTTGGGTGAACTATCCCTTTAATATGCAGCGTGATGTTCTGTACAAGAGACTTTGTATTAGTTTAGATTAGTTGTGATGTGTCCACTGGTGGATCATGTGTGCTGCGTCTGCCATGTGTCATATCTCGTTTTCTCTTTCTTTACTCTCTGTGTGTTTCTTGGCTCCTCGAAGTGGCTGGTTTCTACTGTAAGTACACCCGACGTACATGTTTTGAACTCACTGTTTTGCACGTGATTATGGGTTTGTGGCATGAAATGTTTGTCCAAAAGCATGTGAAAATGCATCAGTGTGATGGATTGTGTTCCAAGCCGATAAGACTTCATCTTTAAATAGTGTGGAAGCCCACGGCTTGAACAGATCTGCGCCAAACATCTTTGAGCCATTGACCTCTTCTTTCATTTCATCTGAGATTTAGGCCCCGCAAAAATTGACCCTTATGACTGGTTTTGTGATCCAGGGTCACATATGATGAAAAATACATCTTCACCAATGTTGTGTTTAACTCCATCTCTTTCCTCTTGACACTAACAGATATTCCAGATCAGGTGATCCGCGTGTTCAAGGCCGACCAGCAGAGCTGCTATATCATCATCAGTAAAGACACCACAGCCAAAGATGTCGTCTCGCATGTAGTCAGCGAGTTCGGCCTCATCGCCGCTCCAGAGACCTACTCGCTGTGTGAGGTTTCCATTAGTCCTGAAGGAGTCATCAAACAGCGCAGACTGCCCGACCAGCTCTCAAAACTAGCGGACCGCATCCAGCTCAACGGCAGGTAAGCAGAACCAGCACCTCGCTCACACTACACTTCGTTCCACTGACATCCATTCATACGCATTCAAATGCGGGTTAAAGGATAGACAAGCTTCTGCGAATTTGAAACTCTGAGCTGTGAATTCGTATCACGTGAAGACGTGTGACCAATAGACAGAGCTGGGTAGATTACTTACAAATGGTAGGCTGTTACTGATTCCAAATTACGTGACAAAATTGTAGTTAGTAACGTAATCCATTACATTACACATTTTAGGTAATATAATCAGACTACTTCTGATCTGACTCGATTATCACGTTGATTTAAATTAGTGCTGTCAATCGATTAAAAAAAATAATCACACATTTTTTTCTGATATTAGAAGTCAGGTAATAAGCGATTAATCACACCTAACATTAAAGTTTTTAAATATACTTTTATATTGCAATAATTTCACATCTCCAAATTAATGTAGAAACAACATAAAGACAGTATATTTTTAATGTTTGTTCAGTGGCATCTTTTTACAGAAATATACAGAAATATATATATATAATAAATATAAAATATAATATAAATATAATAATATATTTATGCAATTCAAATCCATAAATCTTAAATTTAGGCCTAAATCACACTAGACTGAGTCTGATTCCACTGCCTAAAGAGTTGATGGATTTAAAAGGGACACCGTGATGTGCGCTTGTGTGACAAGACTTTACAGTAATCCCATCATTTGTATGTTTGCTCAGGTACTACCTGAAGAACAACATGGAGACAGAGACGCTTTGCTCTGATGAAGACGCTCAGGAGCTCTTAAGGGAGAGTCAGATCGGTCTCCTGCAGCTCAGTACTGTGGAGGTGGCAGCGCAGCTCTCCATGAGAGACTTCGGCTTGTTCCGTAACATCGAGTCCACCGAGTATGTGGACGACCTGTTTAAGCTGGACCCCGGCGGTGGCGGCAGCAGCCATCTGAAGCAGTTCGAGGAGGTCATCAACCAGGAAACCTTCTGGGTGGCCACTGAGATCCTGCGCGAGCCCAACGCACTCAAACGCATGAAGAACATCAAGCACTTTATCAAGATCGCCCTGCATTGCCGCGAGTGCAAGAACTTCAACTCCATGTTTGCCATTATTAGGTGAGTCGGTTGAGCTGTCAGAGCTGTTTCACGGGGATTGTAAGAAAAATATTCCACTATTTCAATACGAGATACACCTGACAAGTAGTTCGACCTGTCACTCGCTCAGAGTGTGTAGCCTGTAAAATGTACGTGAGCCTCTCATTCAGCGCTTTTATTCATTTTTACCCCAAGCCTGATTCATTTCCAACTCTGCTTCAGATAATCCTATAATTTGATCAGTTTATGTGATTAGAAGATTTACAAGTAAATGCATTTACAAATAATTGCAACAGCATGTTGATATGAAAATTTTAATAGTTTTCTATTAATCTGTTAGTCTGCATTTATATTGCTTAATGCACACCTACTTTTTCATATTGTATATATTCATATGAAATATTTGTTTGTCCCGTTCATTGCTATGGTTATCACCAAGGATGCATTATTATAGTACGCAAAAATGCAAGGCTATTTTTTACATTTTAATTTAATTTTTTTTATTATTTATTTTTTATATGAATTAAAAAAAAACTTTGACATTGTCCAGAGTGCAAACACAAATACACACTGGACCGAAGCGTTTGCAAAATCGCCAGTGCTGTTATTAGTTTCAGCTGAGTGTGCACCCTCTAACACCCCTTAGAACTGGGCCTAATCCGGTCACTCACACCGGTGTGCCCAAATATATTTTTTTCACAGTCGCATGCGGTAATTTTCAGTTGTCAAAATGGATACACTGTACAGATATAAGACAAAATAATCCATAATTGACAATTTACACAAATGATCATGTTCAAAAGTTGACGTGCTCTTGGTTCCTCAGTGTTTTTTGGTAGTTGTGCAGCTTCATCAGAACATAAAATGCAGCTTTTATGATCACTTATTTTTCAAATGGTTAAACATCTGTTAGATTCTGTAAGGGGTGTGTGAACTCAAGAGCAGGACCGTACGTGATGTTCATGTGCTGTGTTTTTATGTGTTTATCAGTGGTCTTAATCTGGCTCCAGTAGCTCGATTGAGAAGCACGTGGGAGAAACTACCCAGTAAGTATGAGAAACTGTTCCGCGACCTTCAGGACATCTTTGACCCGTCACGTAACATGGCCAAATACCGCAACATCCTGAGCAGCCAGAGCGTACAGCCTCCCATCATCCCGCTGTTTCCCGTGGTCAAGAAAGACCTCACCTTCCTGCACGAAGGTCAGTAGGTCAAGTTCACCTTCTGAAATACACACGTGCAGTGCTGGGTAGATTACTTACAAATTGTAGTCTGTTATCGATTACAGATTACTTGTTGAATGTCAATTTACATTACATGTCAATATGATCGTTAACCACATCAGAGAACTGTAAACATGTGAATTGTTAAATTATTGGAATATTAACTTCCTCAGAGATATTTCAAATAAATATTTTATTTTAAGGGGTTTGGTGATAAAAGTGTTTGGGAATCCCTGCATTACATGAACAAACATTAATAAACATGAAAACAGCAGTGACATTACATGCCCAAAGTCTTCCAGCTCTGAAATATTTTAGTCCTGCAGAACCAACAGTTACTGAAGGTCTCTGGATATGATGACGGCATTGTGTTTCACAGCTACATCACCAGTGTTTAATAACTTAAGCACAATTATTTGGTTCAATTATTGGTTTGCATATTTATTTACATGACATTTGTGAATATAGTTCAAGCTTAATGGTATGACACACAGTAGGATTTTTAGAAAGGAACATTTAAATGAGAAAAAAGAAGAATTAGGGAGAATCAATAAATTATGAATAATTTACTGCCATTGCATGAATAATATGTAATAATCGCTAAAAAAGTAACCGTAATCTGATTATGAGCATTTTAAAATGTAATATACTCTAATTACAAGTACTTAATTTTTGGAATCTGATTATGTAATCCAGATTACATGTAATCAGTTACTACCCAGCACTGTATTGTTAAAAAGACCTTTCATGTGTCAGGTCTTAAAACTCTCCGTCATCTCTTATCTTTCTCAGGTAACGATTCGAGTGTTGATGGCCTGGTGAATTTCGAAAAGTTACGAATGATCGCCAAGGAGATCCGACATGTGGTGCGCATGACGTCAGCCAACATGGACCCAGCGCTCATGTTCAGACAGAGGTGACGACGGCAGACTTTTGCACACAGGCACAGAGAGCATGAACTGAAAGTACACTAGAAATCGAAAATTGTTCCTGCTCTTACTGTGAAGGATTCATCAGTGCATGTTACTATTAAAAGAAAATGATGTTGAAGTAGAGGTCTGCACGGGCTTTAAAGTGAAGCCCAAACCCGGCCCGTACCTGAGATCGTCTGACCCGACCCGACCCGAGCGGCACAGTTAAATTTAGTGGCCAAACCCGAAATCTGTTTTTTTTTTTTTTCACAACGA